TGTCAGCTAGCTATGTTATGCCAAGAGCTTACCTACAACTTCAGTAAAGCTGTGCTGTCAAATGTCCGAGTGTCATATTGTTGGAATGTCCGAATGGTTGTTATTGTGAAGAATGGATTCATCTGATAAACATCCGTCATCGGCATCAGTTTGATCGAAATACACATATTTATGTATAATTTACATATATGATTGATAACGTACAAAATATATATAAACAAATAAATATGATACCGGGGAGAATGGGGTGACAGGTGACAGGTGACTGGGTCAGTAGGGACAGACCGACAGACACGAAAGTCAAAATTTGAGTTCCCTCATCCCTGTCTGACTGAAGGCTGACACTCGTGACAGGCTGACCGACTACTCACTACAGCCTTCCATAGGGAATTAAATATTTATTAGTAGCCCCCCCCCCTGAAAATGAAACAGAACATTCTTATTTATATAAATATACTAACCCGCCAAATTACACCAATGGGATATTGATACGCTACCAGGCCAACGAGAGGCGGGATCGTGGAACAAAAGCTCTCTGGGCCTGGGCCCTGGGGACGCCCTGGGGCCCCTGGGGACCGCTGGCTCTGGGTCTAAAACTGCAAATATGTTCTGTATTGGTGTTTTTCCACATAGTTATGTATCATTCGCAAGTATCCCACATCTAAATACCTTCAATCATGATTAGACGCACATGAACCGGACGGGACTTTGCCATCCTGAGCGATACCCGTACAACTCAATTCTTAAATCTGGGCTACGTATCTAGTTGAATACTTCTCGTATAGCACAGAAGATGCGTATCCATGATCGTTCCGATCCAAATGACAGTTTATATGTGAGTGATAGTGATTACTGTGAGTCTTGTGATTCACCCATCCCGGACCCCCTGGCACACGCTCTACGTATTGCGAAAGCCGAAAACGCGATTTCATTAGACACGCCAAGTAACAAATCACCTGACAATTATGATAACGGTGCAAAGAGTTTAGAAACCATGTCGAATGATCATGCCCTACGCCCACGCAGTCGTGCGCGTTCGATTGCACACCAACCACACACCGACTCAGCTAACCGTGACATATCTAAAATTTCGCGAGAGGGAAATATCACAGTAGGCACAGACACAAAGATAGCGGCACACGAAAGTGTGGATGACACTGATGATAATGCGACGGACTGGTCTGTGTTCTGGGTGCCCACAACTAAGGATATACTTGCAATTAGAGACCATGCTGGGGCGGGCATGGTGTCAGAACCATACTTGCGCACACTGCGTCAAGTGGCGAAGAGCAGTAGAAAATTCGCCGAACAGTTCAGGCCGTATATCGGTTGTGTCTTTGACGAGACTACGGGCATGCCTATAAGCGGGAAACACACTCTGGATACGGGGGAGTTGGACGGAAGGGGTTGCGATGGCTACGTGTACTTCACCACAGATTCCAAACCAGTAAAGAAGGTGAAGGAAAATGGCAACGTCCTGGTGGTCGTGCGCGGACTCCTTGGTGTGTATAAACGTGTGTGCTGCTCCTGGTGTCTGCTACTATGAATTACTGTGGCTTTGGTTTTACGGTGTGTCTGAGCTCGGATTTATCGGGTGGTTGGCAGGTATAAGTACGGAGCTTCTTACTATGATTGGGCTTGAGTATGCATCTGGATCCTTGTATTTATTTGATTGCTCATTTGAGAATTCTGTGTAGCTTTTCGAGTACGGTGCGGGTTAGTATTTTGTGTCAAGCTGTGTACAAACCGTAAGTACAGTACTTCATACACTGTGAATCGTGTCAATGCTGAGTTGACCAGTGGTTGTGTGATATTCACTGAATCTTTTGTGTTATATACGGTATCTCGTGTGTCTCCGTGCTACACATCCTTATTACAGTTAGCATAGCTTATATTTAATGACGATTATTCGTGGTGCAGTGTCAAGTGCTACGCTTCGCAAAACTGAGAGTTGGAGTACTCTGCAATAAGTGTAATCCTTTGTTTTTGGGATTAGAATAATTAACCATAGTATTATATCAACAAGCCCCTTTTTGTCGGTTACTTCAATAAATGAGCAAATCATTGTGCTTGTGCATTGTTGAGCATAGCTTTAGTTTGCGCACACACGACTATGCGGGTTTGCGGTCGATTGTATGATATGTCTGTTATGGTCAGAAAACGTCATGTGAGCTGAGTTGATATATGCGTACCCACTGGGCAGGCGATGAGAAAGTCACACTGACGGTATGTCGGCTTACGGGCAACCGCATGTATCCGGACATCATGGAGATGGATGGTGTGAGAGGCTCATGGGGTGTCAATGTTCTCGCCAGTACGTATGCATGCCCCGAGGATATCGAAGTGCTGCAGGCGCTTTTGGTGGAGGTGAGTGAGTTTTGTCGCTACGCGGTATGTTCTTTAAAGTCAATACCAGACTGTACATATGCTGCGATGCTCTATCCGATTCCAAGTGACCGCTCCTACTCAGATCTTACGACCGATGCTGGTTTAAAAGTGTTATAGACCGACAGATTTGTGTATCGCAGCAGCGTTAGCGCCAGTGAAAATGGATTGACGTCCGTTGTTTGATTTTAAAAGCGGCCATCTAAGTTCGCCGACATATGTAAATCGTCCACTATTGTTCGCAGACAGTACGTACTCGTTGTTCTACTGCTTGTATAGTCAGATGTACAATTTGAAAAGTCACTCTCGGCCTCACCTCCGCTGTTTGATGCACGTTTCTGCGCTCTGTACTGCACCCTGCTATGTATGTCGTTTGAAGCCGACATTGTTCTGGCAATGGCGGTTGCTGTTTGTACTGGTAATACGGGGTGCTATCTGTATTAAACTTTAACGGGTCTATGATTCGTACAGGACAATAAATGTTTTCCCTTAAAGCCAGTGCTGTATCCTGCGGAATGCCGTGCGCGGCTCATCGAATCAATGGCGACAGCGACTGAGGGCCTTTCCCCTGTTAGGGCTTTCTTGAAGATCCGTATGTGAACTGTGTTGAGGAACATGCACGCACTAATCTTCTCAAACGTAGCATTGCCAAAGCGATGACTCAGTTCGTTTGTCACTAGCTTGTATATAAAATCACGTCAAAAAAAATTGTATAACTGATGTCCACAGGGATTCGCAGTCGTGCGACCGTTAAAAAAAAGTTATGTACCCTTATTCCCAATCATTTATTAGCAGAAGGCAGTAGGACCAAGCTTGAACCGCTGCGCTGATATTGCATTTCATGCGTAGCATCACGGCATTGACTGTACCCTATCAAATCACGCTTCAACCTCACTGTATGCCTTATGTGTGCACTTCTCATCCTGTATCACACAGATGGTCTTGCAAGTCATGTGAATGTGCTCGGCCAAGACGAGATGGAGCGAACACAAGGCGATATGGTTGGCGACGGAACGTTTGGAGCCGTATACAGGCTAAACGATAGCCCCAATCATGTGCTGAAAATGTTCAAGACAGAGTGTAATGCCGAGGACCGTTTGAATGAGATCATGTGTCTGGGGTAAGATGCGGGTTATACTTATCTTTCTGCCAATTGGCTTCTTTTTATATACTGATAAAACTAGTTTTTTCCGTCGCTGCTTGTACTATCAATAAGACCTCCTATAAATCTGTCACCAAACCTGAACCCGGAGTACTTTCTAGAAAACAACGGAGCTATGACCCGCCTATAACTGAGGTTCTTGTACAGACTGCCGAATACCGTAGTCCTCTATCTTTGTTATAATCCAACGAGCCCCGCCCGTTGAGTCATATCACCACTTAGCTGCTACCTATCCCTGTTTTTAACATCTACACTGTGCTATAATTGACACGCACGAAAAGTCCTTAATATATATAGCATGCAAGGTGATGTCCACGCGAAGCAATGACATCCAAGCCATTCCACTGTAAATCCATGTGCTTATCTGTATTTAGAGCTCTGCAAGGGGTTGAGAGCGTTCCGAAATTGTTCGCTGTAGTTGAAGCGCAGTTCGACGGTGATAAAGATACAGATATAGAGGAAGGTCTGCACTTCATAGGCTACGTTTGCACCAGGTAAGATACTAATTTGGGGCATCGTGTATGCTGAGCAAGAACGCGACTCGTGCATTCCACATGTGCATAGATATAGTGATAAGTGGTATAATAACCTCTACTTCGTGTGGGGCTGTAGAATTCATGCTCTTGTTCCTCTATTGGGCATAGTCTAAGGATACTAATGGGGGTAACAAACCCCTGGGCGTGTTTCGCGGCAGCATGTGTGCTGCGTGTTTACATCAGTGATATTCAATTCGTGTACTTCGCAACGTACTATTGTGAGTTACACCGGCGATGAGACACCAAATGGAAGGAACATGTGTTGTAATTCTAAAAGAATGCCCTAAGATCATCTACGTTTCCGTTTGTGTTTGACTTTTTATCATCAATAATTAAGCGCTTCTCTTACCCAAATTGTACTAACAATTATACTTACCGATCTTTATTTATTTTTTTAATTTTCAGATATGATTATACACTATTAGACTATCACAAAGAGAATCCAAATGCGGCCGATGTATATAGCTTGATAACCGGACTGGTAATCTCTCTGCGAGACATTCACAGGCAAAGGATCTGCCATCTGGACCTGTGCGACCGAAACGTCATGGTAACCCGGCCTCCAGCACACAAGCCTGGTATGTTCTTGTATTTACTTACACATTGATATGTATGGGTTAGGTCTGCGTGTAGTTGTCAAGCCTGGTAAGTTCATGTAAATACTCGCATATTGGTAAGTATAGGGTGAGCGTGTATATGTATATTAAACCTGCTAAATTCATGTAAAAACTCGCATATTGATATACATGGGTAGGTGTGGGTGTGTCCCAAGCATGGTATTTCTCGTACTCTTTGCACGCACTCGCGCCGGATCGTGTATCCTGAAACAGCGTGCGTATACAGAAGTACAGTTGGAATGCTATCTTATTCAGCCGAAGGTATACGTCGCCCGTACACGTCTACAGTGTCATGAAGTTGTAGAGCAACAATATGGCTTATCGCTTTCCACTTTCTTCATGCATGTCAATTAACTCAGCGCCATTCACCCATCTTAGGGGATTCAATGGGTCAGTGTCCTCAGTTCTATGCTCATTTATTTTTCATTTTTGACTTGCTTGCCTTGTCTAGGTACTACGTCTAAGCTTGAGGTGTCTATCATTGACTTCGCGGGAGCCTGTTTACTGCCGGAATCGATGCTCTTCTTGCCGAACCCGCTTATCGCCAAATGCACCTACCGCCCGCCAGAGATCTTTAAGGCGCGCAATATCAAGGCCGGCGAAAAGACTGGTATCTTGCCATTCACCCAAGCACACCCTGTGAGTGCACCTCGTAATCGTAGTATGCAGGCAAATGGAAGCTCGCCAGCGAATGATAGTTCAAAGAAAAATCTCTCTGCACCACAAACACGCAGACAATCACAATCGCCGACCAGATCACGTTCACAGTCGCAGAATAAGGAGCCTGTCGCAGCTGTCGATAACGTTGCCGAGAGTAAAAAGTGCGGAGTAAGCGGGTCCTCTAAAACTTGGGTGGGCTATGTTGAAATCACCGACGAATCCTCATCAGAGTCGGAAGAGTCGACCGACGAGAAGAAGAGCAACAAACAACGATTAGTCGACGGACGTAAACTGGATGTGTGGGGGTTGGGGGTGATCTTTACCGAAATTTTGACACGTGGAATTAAGGCCTGGGGAGGTACCTTCGATGCCACGAGACTCAACCAGATTGTTAGCAGTGAGAAAGCCATCAAGCGTTATATCGAGGAAAGTGTGGAGGGGTCAACTTGGCGCGAATTGTTGGGTAGTTGTTTGGCTGTGAAACCGTCGAGGCGGTGGCTATGTGATGAAATACTCGACTACATGAAAGAGAATAGAGATAACCTGATGGAGGAGTTGAAAGGGTAGGTTTTTTTTCAGTCAAGTGGTAGTTGTCTGAGAAATATGGATTATGATTGCGTGCTGTTCTTTGTATACCTTACTCGTCCTCAGGCGCTGCAATACTTACTATACTTTGTGTACTAGAAATGGTTTTAGGGGCTTGTGCTCGGGATCATTGATGCTAGCTAGTTTCAAGGTGTTTGAAACATATGCAATAGATGTTAGGGCGGTGACCTTCGCGTCGCATTGGCTCGCTGTTGTCCGCTATAGTAAATGCTGGGTGAGCATCCATCGCAACACACACTTACATGTCCAGTGAAAATGTACTATGGCGCAGTCAAGTGTGTATGCGATATTATCGGATCTGTTATGTTCAGTTGGGATCCATTACGAGTTTTCAAGCTGCTATCTCATTCTTTCGATTGCTCTTTGTGCATTCTATTTTCATATTGCAACATAATTTAGATTACCCGTCAAAAGTGGAGCGAGAACGAAGAAGAGTCGACAGCTTGACAAATACCAAGACACGAGCATGTTGAATCCGAAACCGCGCAAGGTATTATGATGTCTGAAACAAGTATGAATTTACTCCACTATGTACCCGCTCTTAAAACTTTATAGAAGCTCATGTGTCGCCTATCGACTGCTTGGCTATCCAAAGCAATTAGGAAAGTCGCCATCGTTGTGAGAATCTTTGCGTGAAAATTGGTTTGCACATTTCATTAAAGCTGTATGAAATACTTTTCTCTCTATATCATATCTATCGGCCGAAACTGCGGGTCATCAATAATACTGAACAAGCAAGCGCGCTACAGTTTGTCAATCCTTTCTATGTTGCATTTCCGCTCATCACTGTAGTCATGATTGCAGTTGAAGTGTATCGCAGATTAATGATTCCTCCAAACAATTGATTTCGTATAAATGAAGCTCGCCAAACAAGAACCAGTTGGTAGAAGTACTAGGAGGAGAGGCAACGACCCAAATAATCATCCCGAGAAGTCGTCCAAACCAACTATGCGCACTATAAAGTCTCCCGGCTCGGCAACGGGAGGAAGAATTTATCCCCTACCTGTTCCCCTCACGTGTCTGGAACCTGAGCACTATATGATTATCCGCAAGTTAAGTAAACCGCGGTATACAGATAATCGCATTCAGATCTCCGAGGAACACATAATTGGTTCAAATGGGCCGGTGGGAGTAGATAGAAATCTCAATGGTGGAGACGGTGGGCCATGGAAACCCGCAAGAGGAAGAGCCCGTGAGCACAAACAAACCGTAAACTACGAACGGCTGCATGATCCTGTACCGCGAGCCGGGCGATTAGAACAACCCGCTCAATCCGAAGCCTACAATGATATGACTAGCGAAGAGGATGAGGAAATGGTTGACGCTGGAGGGGATGAAGACGAAAGGAGGAGGAGTTTTCAATTGCTCAAGCATATTGCGCAATGGAAGGCGGCAAAGGCAGAAAAGAGAGCGAGAAGTACTCAATTGGGGTCCGATGCAGAAGGTGGTGGCAGCGCGACTCTTCAAGAAAACAAAGCATCACACAATACGTATAAAATTACGTCGACAATTGGTATGCCCATTACTGTGAAACTTCGAACTGCTGTTGCTGGATTGTTTCTTTTAGCAACCTGAGTTATTTGTGATGGGGACTGTGACTAGTTAGGTAGAACCTTCTTGAAGGCTTTCTTCACAACATATCATACCCCCAAAAACGACCATCACTTATATGCAGCCGAAATCTCCGAGTAGTTGTATGATCTATACTGTAGTGGGGGTCGACTTAATGACTTGCATACTGGATTGTCTGTTCTGCAAGCGACGATCCTTTTTGCGTATTTGTCTCGCAAAAAGTTACTAAATCTATTTTCTTATCACTTGGCTATGCATTCCTCACAGGTACGCGAGCAAACGAAAAGCCCGCGCCTTTAGCTGATAACGGTGTTCCAGTGTCGCTGCCGCCGCCAGCTGCACCTTTAGTTTTGCCAAGTAACTGGCAATGCGCCCGATCTAGTAAGAATCCACATACAAATACAAATCAACTATTAGAAAACACGAATTTTCCAGTACGAGATGTGCTGGGGCAAAATCGCTTGGATATGCATAACCATGCTCCTATGAACGATCACTACTCGCAGGCACGAAAACAGCCTGTTGTGGATCCGGACATGCCGCCAATGCGCCAAGTAAAAGGAAGAACGATCGGCCAGAACCATTCCGATTCCGATTCCCAAAATATCAATCAAAATCGACGTGATGCCGCAATTCATTCCACCCCGTTGCTAGGGCAGCAGGCCTATCTCAACCCCACGAGGCAGACTGTTGTGGTGGATTATAAAAGTACAAAGACAGAACCCACGAAGAAGATTATGCACGGTTATAGTAGCACACAGACAGAACCAACGGAGACAGTTCTGGGCGTGTATAAAAGCGTAAATGGGTATCGAAAATCACCTGCACAGCCAGTCACACAAACCAGCTCAAGTGTCGCTGCGTTGACACAGAACTCTCAAGCATGTGTATATTCCGGGACAATCGTAAGGCCGCCCGCCCATAAGCCTACTTCAGTACCTCAACAGCCCTATAGCCATGTCTCGAAGGTGACGCACAAGGGAGAACTCATGCAGCGTCCACCGACGAGTCAGCCGTCAACAGGTCATCCGCCGCCACAGCCGCACGTTATGTCTGCGCCATCGATCCACACGTATGGGATTATACCAACTCAGTTCAATAGATCTGCCACCCAAATTAGAAACTCTGTTAATACCCACATACAGCGGTATCAGCAGCAAGGCCTGCCACGCACGGGCCACCCTCATGGCCCAGCTGAAGGAACTGGATAACAGTCATGAAATCATTAGAAAACTAAAGTCCACCATATCACTTAATTTTGGAGTCATTGGTGGCCTATCGACCTGGCTCTCATGTTTACCAACTTACAATAGTTTCGGTACAAGTTGAAAATATACGAGGTTTCGTTACAAGTTGAAAACATATGAGGTATTGATCCAGCTGCAAACGACCTCCTCGTGGGTATTGGTTTCGATCTGATGAGATACCCAAAATGCGACAATGTCCCATAGTCCAGACAATATATGGAAATGCAGATCTATACGAATGTGGCGGTATTAATGCCTTGTGGGGCTGATCTGCTCGTGGAGCCACTTCACGAGTTGAGAAAATAAAATTGCAGACCAAAAAAAAAGTTGATTCCTTGCGTGATCAAAATCATGGGATGTATTGTGCTCTGAATTTTACTAGCTCGACTGAAGTTTAACGAGCGTGATACTTTAGCGACTGCATGTACACACGTGCCGATTTTCCTATTGTCAAGTGTTGCGCGTACATTTGACATGGTCAAAATAAGTCTGCTCGTCGGGCGACTACACTATTGTAGCTGAGTTGTCAGACAGAACGTGATATCGTGTTCGAAACTGTAGAAGAATGGACCTCGATAGTTAGCAATAATGCTACTTTCAGTATGTGGCGAGATACTATAAAAGATGATAAATCCAGTCGCGTTTTCAGTGGCCTTACTTCATTTATAAATGATATTGAATACTCAAAATTTGTATTAATTCTCACAGAAACACACACATACTAAAAGTATAAAACAGCTATTCTGATACATATACACCTATGTATTCACTTATTTTTCGACATGACCTTGCATGTGGTTTATTGTACATATTGAGGATCTTCCTTCAAAGATATATATATCAAATTTAGTTTACGATCTATTCAGTAACCAACAATCAATGCTTATATGCCGGCGAAGTCAGTTGCCGCCATATCGTTCGCGCACTAACCAGTGATATACCTTGGTCTTAAGCACAATACTCTTTGGTCCTCAAACTGTTCAAAAGTTCAAACCATTGAACCTATAAGGTGCTATCATAAGCGGTTCAGAAATCATAGGAACAATGACCCGTACCTAGCAGTCATGGGTGATAACTGCAACATTGTTTTCAAATATGAAATGACCAAACTCAATTTTGGTTCTTGTTCAAGAAACAGCTGTAACAGGTAATTTTTATCCTTGTTTCTTAAGTAAAAAGAATGTCAGATGAAATTACGGGTCCAAATAGTAGATAGGATATAAAATACTATACATATTGTATCAGGCAATGCTTGGCTCTTTTTCAACACTAGAAAACCAAGAAGGATCATCTGCAATTCGTATTTGAATTACGCATTGACATTGCCTTCTCCCGGATGATTTTTTTCGGCAGGCTCAAAAATTGCCCTGATCCGAGCTATATTCTATACCACCCGCACGATTAAATCCTATTTTCACAAATCATGTGGACGCCTATACTGAAAAATAGAGCGGAACAGATATATGTGCCTAGCTATTACGCAGCCAAACAAAAATTGAAAATAAATTCATACGCACAGACAACTATTTACGAAGTTACATGGGCCGTGCGAGGGTATTCAAATGTATTGCATTGCTGTATAGAAACAAATGATCCTAAGAACCAACCCACGGAAGGAAAGAATATCTCAACCGGCCACAAGCAGCTTAAATTCAGTCTTGAACAACTTCTGGATTAGGCCAGGTCAGGAAGTAATCATGCCCAGTAGAAGTATCGACTGAGCCAGCAGGCCGCCGTTCATGGCTATGTCGCACGGCTGCTTAATGACTTAGCCGGATAAATTGGAAATCGGTCAAAAATACGATGTGAACCCCATGATTGCGTCCGCCGCTTGTCAAGATTTTGTTGAAATTGAAATCAAGCTTAATTTCGGTAATCCACCCGACTCCTGTTCCTCCGCCCCAACATTCCATCGCGAAAGTAACATCAGCAGTCTCTAGTCACGAAAAATACATTTTGCAATTTCCATTGAGCCCCGCTAAGAAGTATTGTATCGACACAAATCGCGACATTGCTTATAGATGCAATCAGTATTGGTCATTTTATATACAATTGAGTTCAAACAAACAACGACCGACAACAATGGAGGAAGTATAACTAGTCCACTTAATTTAGCCCAACATCATTGTGCGACAGCATAGGTCACCTCAAGGTGAAGGTCACGTTGAAATATCGGTTTAAATCGAGACTTGCTTCTATACATGAACCAAATTCCACAAAGAAATATGGTAACGACACAAGTCTAGCCATTGCTTGTAGATATAAGCAGTCTTGGGTCTTTATATACAAATGAGTTCAAACAAATACTGACCGACAACAATAGAGTAAGTATAGCTGGACTACTAATACTCCAGGCCAACATCATTGTGCGACAGCATACGTCACCTAAAGGTGAAGGTCAAGTAGGAATTTGGGTTCAAATCGAGGTTTGCACCGAACCAGATATGCGTTCGTCTATAAAAATTTAAAACGCCTTTGACTTGTGACTCATACGCTCGATTCGTCTGGCGATCACAAGATTGAGCCGTATGATGTAGTATTGAATACAGAATTCAATCTAAAAGCAAAAGCACATGGAGTAGTGCGCTGTTTCAAAACGCCTCCCATATATCAACCATATAACAAATTCGTACTATAGTATAGAAAGGTAAAGCAATTGATAGCCAACAACAATATGTACCTTATGTTTAGCAGAAACACGTATCTATTACTGACACATACAACTTCCCCTTCTCCTATATTCAATGACCAATGTTCAGAGCGACACTAGCTTTCGTTGCTAAAATACTAAATGATCTATAAAGATATTAGCAATAGTATATGACTATGGCATTGAACGCGATGTACAGGATTTGCTTTTTGTCTATTTCAACCGATAAGACAATGATGAACGAACATGAATACTCCCTAATAATTGGCGAGATCAATTACGAGTGATGTTTGAAACAGAACTAAAAAAATGTTAACTCTAGATCTCAATAAAAAAACATCGAACGCGAGCCAACGGAAATTAAATATATAGAACAATTTAATTCTCGCGAAAGTTATAACAAACGAGTAAATCTTATTTGTCCGTCCATCTCAGCACCATCGGGTACACCACAGTCTGTAGGTACTTAAAGGAACGGTTATTTTTCTACCTTAGTCTAAAATACCGTCATCGGGTTCCGTATTTTTAAGTGATGCGATCTGCTATAGATTTGAGCCTAGCAAGCAAAAGATACTCGAATTTAGATTCCATATTTGTTGTTAAAACATACTTTTAGACTCTTCGCCAAAACTTCAAATCGACAATACCACAACCTTGCTTTCCACTTCAGCACAAGAAGATTAGTCTCAGAGAACCTACAGTTGCTTCAACCATGGACAACTTCAGATGTGAAAAAAGAGTTTAGCTGAAAAGGCTAAAAAGGAAGCTGATGCGCGTAGGGCTGCAAATCTTAAGCGCATGCTGAAGAACAGACGAAGGAACAAGAGGATAAGAAAGCAGTAGAAGACTTTAAAAAAGCCGAGCTATAGAGAATTCCTTTGTCCCCTTCCAATAAATTGGTTAAAAACGATCATCCACCAAAGACTCATACACAGAATCCAAAACCCATGAAGAATTTTATATTTCAAAAGATAAAGGACTCGAGCATCCACTCATGTAGAATATAAGAACTTACATCGGACAGAGGTACGCCTCGAAAAAGACACTGAGATGTCTAAGCCGCCTTCAAATACAAACCGACACTGAATCTCCTATAAAGGAAACGCGACCAAGGATAGCCAATCTGACGAAGAGTAGATCGAGTTTTCTTCAAAATCCCAATCTCCTATCCTCGAGTCAGACTCTTACAAAGAAGACGTCTTCGACGACATTCACGACAAGCCGATCGAGGAAGGTGAACTCGATCAAACTGAACATGAACTTGATCGAATCGAAAAAGCTATCATAGAAGACTATGGCAACGATATCGCTCCTAAAAAAACGAGAGATAGAACAATTTGGCACTCCCTCACTCGGAAATAGAGTCATAGGCTGGGTAATACTCATCCAGACATCATCGAGCTAGAGTTACCAGAATGTACGATCATAAGGCTTCAAAATCGATATGAGTATACACTTTATAAATAGTCTCTACCTACCACTTTCATGTGCGGAAACGCTCTACGATCCAACCGCAGACGTCAAAGATAGTCTTTTAGACCATACGGTAAATGACTGAACCAACCAACCTAGTACTAGGTTGGTTGGTTCAGTCATTCACTTTATTTACTACAAACCTGGAAAGTGTCGTGAGTGTTTCGATCTCAGTCCGTACGATCCGCTCCTGGGTGGATTTCTCCGAACCTTTCACGCTATGATCACCGATCCTGGGCAATAGTACTGGCCTACTACCAGCTGATTTTCTCCTAATGTCACAACATTTACCCAAGCCAAGATTCGACTGCCCAGGAGTAGCGATTCCAGCATGAGATACTCAGAGAAATCCACTCAGGAGCAGATCATGTGGACTACGATCGACTTACTCACAAAACCTTTCACTTTTGTAGGTAGTAAATAAAGTAACTATGGGTATAGGAACACCAGCACATGTTGGAGATAGGTTTCATGCACAATATATCCAACATGATAAACTGAACTGCCTTACAGACGACGTACAAATTGCTAAGCCTAAGCATTGAGTCAGCTAAATCCGTAAAACTGACAAACGTAACCGTGGAACCCTTTTGTGCAGGCCTACATGGATGACGGGTGGACTTACTCCGCTCGGATTGGAGGAAAAGCTTAAGATAAGGATAACACCCGAAAAGGCCAACCTAGTAAGCGGCAACACAGCAAATCGGTAGAAAAAGCGGTAAACGACGAGCACAAGACTTTCCATGACTTAAGTTACAACGGAGTAGCGTGCGTTAGTTACAACGCCACTGTACAACAAATAAAAGAATAGACGTAGCTTTCATGAAAGATACACGCTGACTTTGTGAGCACAGCGTCACCTGATGAGAGTATAAGTAGGACCACGGATGACTGGGTACATTTGAGCTCGTTTACGTCCATACTTCACATCAAAATAAAAGTTCGTCCTCCAAAGGATGGAGAGCCTCCTACGAAGCGTCATAATACAGACCAAATACGGCGGGAACGATAAATGAAGAAAGGGATGAGCGAGTTATATTACCAGTTCATATCGATGAAATAAAGTAAACGCTCGATCAAATCCCGGCTCACAGATGTAAAATAGCGGCTTTCAAACATTTAGAAGCACATGTTCTAGTACAATCTTGATATTGGAATACGTACAAAATGTTCAGAATATATAGTATTGATCAAAATAGCGTAATTTTGGAAATCAGATGATAACATAATACAACACTTTAGAGCTGGGAGGTTATATAGTAGACAATGGGTAGTTTTCCTGGATAAATTAGTTTTTTATCAAACTTAAACTTATGTAGTACTGGTATGTACATAAAATAATCACAGAGCAAGATAGCCTACTGTGAAATAGAAAATAGAACCACCAGAATCCTCCTTGCGTATCAACTAGACTTGCCCGTTCATGCACATCTAAATTTGGATGGATAGGTAGGTACCAAGTGATGGGGCACTAGATACAATGAGTCACTGCACCAGCTGGGTGTTTTGAAATTTCAATCATTTTTT